AAGAACGATTGCAGCTCCTTTCTCGACGTCGGCCGGGGTGCTGCCAGTATCTGCTTGACCTTCTTCTCCTGCACGAGGATCCCGTCCTTGCCGACAACGTGGCCCAGGTACGAGACCTCTGGCTTGAACCACTCACTCTTGTCTAACCGTAGGAAGAATCCAGTCTCCCGACACAGGTCCAAAAGCTTCCGCAGTTTGGGCATGACCTCCGCAACACTGTCCCCACATGTGACGATATCGTCTATGTAGCAGAAGACATCGTCTCCCAACACCGGGGCGAAGCACGAGTCCATCGCTCGTTGGAACTCGGCCGGCGAGTTCTTCACACCTAACGGGATCACATTGAACTCGAATAGGCCAATCGGAGTGATAAACGCCGTCAGGTGCCTACTCCCCGCCTCGATTGGCACATTCCAAAACCCCGCGTTCATGTCCAACGTGACATACACGTTGCGCCCAGCAGCCCTCCGGAGGTGGTGCAATATTCTCGGAAGCGGGTACGAGTCCGAGACCATCTTCTCGTTCAACCGTCGATAGTCGATCACACACCTCCACTCGCCCGTCTTCTTTTTGACGAAGTGGGGCGCCGCGGCCCATTCACTCTTCGACGGCCTGATGACTCCGAGTTCCAGCTGTTTAGCTACCTGAGTCTCCGGCTCATAGTGCCGCACCCTCGCCCTGTGGGGGGTGCCGTGCACCTCGAAGCTAGCCTCGTACTTCACCCTTCCCGCTTCCGGGTGTTCCCATACGTCCGGGTGTTCCCATACGTCCCTATACTCCACCAGTAGCCGCCACAACGCCTCTCTCTCGGGCGGTGCCACATGCGCCGAGTTCTCCTCGAAGACCCGTTCTTGCGTGGCAAACCGGTCCTCGGTCTTCGCGACCGTAGCCGGTTGCTCCCGGTACTTCACGTCTGCGAACCTCACCGCATCAACGTAGCCCCTCCTCGCACACAAAACCTGGGCCTTACCTGGCCCCAAGCCAAACCTCTTCATGTCAGGGGCCGACAGGAGGTTGGGTAAGTACTCCACCGGAGTCACACCAAACCGCACCCGTCTCACGGACTTCTCTATTCCCACACTCACCGGCCGAGTCACCGGGAGACCGCCTTCTCCAAGCACAGTGC